CCAGCCACATATGCTGGGGGGAAATGCAGCTCAGATAGAGAAGGGAGCACCAAATAAAGGGTGTTGGGAGGATCCTCCCAGGATGGGAGGTGCATGCTGAAAGTAGACTATAGACCAAACATGACTGCCACTCAATGCCTCTTTTGCAAACCACAGCACCCAAAAGGAGAGAGAGAGCCAAAGGGAATGCCCTACCACAGAGGCAGGGTGGGATGGGGTGGATGGGGTGTGGGAGGGATACTGGGATCAGTGGTGGTGGAGAATGGGCACTAGTGGAGGGAAAGGTACTCGATCATTGTATAACTGAAACCCAAGCACAAAAATTTGTAAGTCTACAACTATACCTCATGGTGTTTCACTAATAAAAATTAAAAATGAATTTTTTCAGTGAGTAAAATAATAGGCACTAAAAAGGGGGGTTTATTGTACTTTGTAGCTGTGGTATATCCTTGGGAGAAATATTTTTATTAACTTTGCAGCCAGCAGATGTATGTTATCCCTGCCCAATATTTATATTTTCAGTTCGATCTAATTTGTACATTCTTATGGTGGATTATTCCAAATCTTATATATTTTTGGGGGGGAGCAAAATATTTATTCATAGATCAGTCTCACCACTTACATTTTATTGAACTATTACTTATTGGACAGTTTTCTTACTCTTTTAGAGCTTATATTTAGCAAAAATAACCAAATACATATTTCTTTATTGGAGGACCATCAATAACAGATTTTATAAACACACAAGTAATTCTTAATATATGTATTACTGTGTAACTTGTTTTTTTTACATGTTAGTCTTTTTTTTTCCACCACCAAAACCCCAGTTTACCCCCCACCTCACACCCTCCCCCCACCTTTGTGGCAGATAATTTCCATATTACTTTCTCTCTACTTTGATTACATTTAATATTTCGACACCAGACCCACCATTATTATTTGGAATTTTACCCCAACACTCAGATCTGCTGAAAAGGCAACAGTAGACAATTTGTTTTCTATTAATTGGTTATGAATAACATATGATGTCATGCAGCCACAGTAGTGGCCACACGATTTTGGAATTTCAAAATTTTAACAATTAAACCTGGAGGAATTTCTGCCAAAACCTGCTGGGTTCCGAGATTTGTTCCTGAGTCTCTTGGATCATGGCCAATAAGCAGCTTGAGCAGGAGCCAGAGAAGCCATTCGTGGGTCGTGACTTGGGATCTCATTGGGGTGGGGAGGAAAGGGCTGGCTCCACCCCCATCCCACGAGGCCCTGCATGTTTCATCACTGCGGGCCCCAACCTGATTGTCCAATGGCCTCTGGAGGATGGCAGCCACTATTCCAAGTCTTTTCAAGGAAAAATGCATTGTGCTTATTTACGTATGCCTAACTTTTTTCTTTTTATGCTTCATTGGGGTAACATTGGTTTATAGCACTATATACATATCACAGATTGTTTTTCTCCTCACCATTATCTACTTACATCTATATATTCATTTATTATATATGTCTATTATAAATTATATATGTCATGTATGTGTGTGTGTGTATCCACATGCTACCCACCACCAAGTGCCCAGTTACCACCATCCATACCAATTAATTGGTTCCTCTACCTTATTAGCCCCTCCCGTATGGTAACCACCACTCTTTTGTGAGCCTAAGGGTTTAGTTTTGCTTTTGTTCATTTGATTTCTTTCTTTATATTGTAAATTGTATTTATCTTTTTCCTTCTGACTCTTGCTCTTCTGATTGTTGTTCTTTCCATAACCACCTCAGAGTCCATCCATGTTGCCAAAAATAGCAGCACTTTATTTTTTTTTATGACTGAATGTACCATATCTTTTTTTTTTTGACAGTCAATAACTGACAGTGTTAAGGCTGAAGGTTGAACATGGGCCTTCTACAGACAGAGCATTAGTGTGTACAGTCTTCTTTGCTATCTCTGGCCCTAGCACATTTTTAAAATATAACCAGTCATCATCAAGCATTTGGGATGTGTCTAGGGCTTGCATATTGTAATGGTGCTGATCATAGGGGTTCGTATACCTTTACAAGTTAATGTTTTCATAGTGTTAAGGTAAACACTCAAAAGTAGGGTTATTAAATAGTATAGTAAATATACACATATGTGTGTATATATTTTTTTAAGTAAATGTACTGTTTTCCATAGTAATTGTGACAATTTATATTTCCACTAATAACTCACTAGACTGAAATTTGAGCTGTTGTTGATCAACAATGTCCGGACTTCTATCCAGATCTGGTTAGAGTAAGAAGCAGCGATATTCAGCACATGAACCACAGGTCATTTGTCAAGAGTTCATTTATACTTCTTTAAGTAGCTATGTGGTTTTGGTTTTTCATTGTTTTTATAGTGTTCTTTGTTTATTTGGGGGCCATACCTGGAAATTCTCAGGGCTTACTTCTGGCTCTGTACTCAAACTTATCTCTTGAGAGATCTCAGGGGACTATGTGCAGAGCCAGGGATTGAACCTGGGCTGAGCATGTTCAAGTCAAGCATCTTGGGGACTGGAGCTATAGCACAGCAGGTAGGGCGTTTGCCTTGCACGCAGCCAACCAGGTTCAATTCCCAGCATCCCATATGGTCCCTTGAGCACATCCGGGAGTAATTCCTGAGTGCAGAGCCAGGAGTAACCCCTGTGCATCGCTGGGTGTGACCCAAAACAAACAAACAAAAAAAACCACACAAGCATCTTAACCCCCTGTACCATCTCTCTGACAGAAATTATTACTACTGTGTGCAATCCTACTAATGCTCCTGATTATCATTACCAGGTTACAGTTTGTGTCTCAATGCCTGTCCATTTAGGCATAAGAGCTACCTTAGTCTCTACTAGGCAGAAGAGCTACCCTAGTCTCAATTGTATAGAAGGAATTATGTCTATTAAAAGTAAAGTAAAACTACGATAAATTTATTTCATTCTTTTGGTGTGGGGGATATATCAGCTGTACTCTGGACTACACTCAGCTCTATGCTAGAAGATAGCTCCCTCAGTGCTAAGGAGACCATGCAGAACCAGGGTACAAACTCAGGCTTCTGCATGCTAAAGACACACCCTGCCCCTTGAGCTATTCATCGGCCCCATAAGAATGAATTGATTTAAAAAGTTCCAACATGGTAGCTATAATTATTAAATCATTAATAGTATCAAGGGGTAAGGTATAATAAAAACTAAATATGTACAGACAAATGTAAATATTTAGACAAAATTCTGTCCATGGGAAAGTTTATTACACTAATTTTGCTAATAAGAAATGCATCTAATAGATTTATTAGGTTAGCCATTTTACCAAATTCTCCCTGTGGATAAAATTATCAAAAATAAGTCAGTAGAACTATTGCATTTTATGACAAAAAATACAAATTGATTATGTAAATTTTAGTGAGTTGGTCTAGGAGGATAGTTAAGAGTAAATTATCACCAGTATGTAAATATTTGAGAGGACAAAGAGAAAGTATAGTAGGCAAGATACTTCCTTGTACACTGCTGATCCAGGTTCTGTGCCCAGCACTGTATGTGGTCCTCCACACTCATGAGGAGTGATCTTTGAGTACAGTGCCAGGAGTAAGCCCTGATTATAGATGGGGATGGCCCCAGCCCTTCCCATACCCCAATTAAACATTTATTTGAGCTTAATTCTCCTTTTCCTCCTTTTCCTTTTCTGGTTATAATTTCTTTTTTCTTCCCTCCAAAGCAGTCATTGATCTGCAATCTGTACTTATTTGTTCCACTTCCTGCATAACTTGCATGAATCTTTCTACTTGACTCTACTGACCTTTTCTTGCCAGTTCCCTTGTCTATTCATCTGACATGTGTGAAAACCCATAATATGCCATGCATTAATCTAGGCACTAATTGAAAGTCATAAAATTTTTAAATGGAAAAAATGAAACTAGATCTGCAATAGAGATGAAACACAAGAGATTCTCTCCTCTCTGCTAACATTGTCCAAGAGAATTTTACCATAGAAAGACTGTAAATGTATTAACTCACTTACCCTCTTGACAGCACAGTGATTTGGAAACTTTTGTCTCAATTTTTAAAAACTTTTGGACTACACCCACCAGTGCTCAGGGCTAACTTCTGGCCCTGCACTCAAGGATCACACCTGGCAGGGCTCAGGGGACCATGTGGCGTGTGGTGATCAAACATGGGTTAGCCACATGCGAGGCAAATACAATCACTATGGCCCCGCTATTACCTTAATTTTCTTGTTAAAGAAACTGCAGCAGAGAGAAACTCGGTAATATAGCTAGTATCTAGTGGAAACTTCCAAGACTGCTGGTCGGGTATTTCTAGACATTCTTTATTTTTTTCAAGTGGTTAGAAATCCAGATTTGATGTAAAGTTTAAAGGTGTAAAGAAACATTATATGGATCTTTGCTCTTAGAGTAGTATACTATATTAAATATCAATGTAATCTGGGTTAACAATTCATAGATCAAAATTTTAAAAATTATCAGGTTTTCATTTTTACTGTTTCACATTTAACATGATTTTTAAAAGTAAACTATTATAGTCAGAATATCCTTAGAATAATATCTGAAGGGAGTAATAATTTCAAATTTAATGCTACCAGTTTTTTAATAAAAAATGAACGGATAATTATTTTTATAGGAGTACTGCTATTTATTCAGCCACTGATTAGCTGATTGAATTGTGCATGAACTCCACCTTACTTTTTTTTTCATTTTTTATAATTTTATTTATTGAATCACCGTGAGACCAGTTACAAAGCTTTCGGGTCTAATGAACTGATAATTTTTCACTGTTCAATTTTAATAGGATGAAAAATGATCCATAACAAGTTTCACTTCATATTTTGCAGTGATGTAAAAGTGAAAATACATGACAAAAAATTCACCCAACCAATGAATATGGCAACCCCACAAAATGAATTAATTTTCTTGAAGACAAAAGTACTTTAACACATTTGCCATTGTTCTGAAGTTGGTGCTATCTTTTTTCTTTCTTCCTTTATTTATTTATTTATTTATTTATTGTGCTATCTTTCTTTATAACAGAGTCTCCAGCTATGTTTCATCCACCGGTCTAGTTAAATTTACCTTGACTCCTTGGGTCGGCTTTCCCTGTCCTCCTCGGAGACCAGCTATGAAAATCTGGGGCCTGGGTACTTGGGTACTGCTTTCCCTAGCACTTTGCGTGCTAGCATCCCGCGGAGGGTATACCTGGGAATAATTTTCTCTTCTCATGTGACTAAAATCAGTTTGCACAGAATGAGTAACTTTCTGACGTAAATTTGCCTAAATGAAAAAAAAGAACACACATGAAATAACACTTCTCAAAAGAAAAAAAACACTCCCCCCCAAGTGCACAAAGGAATTAGGCATAGTATTTTCTCCAAGCAGACAAACACTAAAAAATCTAGAATATAAAATATCCTTTGCCAATTCAAGACCAAGCAGAGAGTCATTGTGCTCGCAGCAGCCAACAGCTGTGAGGCCCAACTTTTCCACTTTCTGGTTTATCAGAATCAAACACTCTGCCCCATGCTTCTTTTCCCTGCCTGTTTTTTTTCTTCTTAATTTATCTCACTTTGTAAAACAAATTTATTTATTAAGTTGAATCACAGTGAGATACACAGTTACAAAGTTGTTCATGATTGGATTTCAGTCATACAATATTCCATCACCATTGCCTCCACCAATGTCCCCAGTTTCCCTCCCACCCGTCATCTCTATGGTAGGCACTGTCTTTCCCTTCCTCCCTCCTTCCTTCCCTCCCTCCTTTCCTCCCTTCCTCCCTTCCTATTCTTATGGTTTGCAATACAGATACTGAAGGGTTGTTATATATCATGTAGATCCCTTTACCTACTTTCAACACTCAGACCAGTATGACAATAATAATTGGAAATTATCATTCTTCCTTGACTTGTCTGTCAAACACAAATGGGGCCATAAAGATAGTACAATGGGTAGGGTGATTGCCTTGTACAAGGCCAACTCATATTTTATCCCCAGCACCTCATGTGCTGCACAGCTAGAGTTATCCTGAGCACAGAGCCAGAAGCAAGCCCTGAGCATCACTTGGGCATGATCCCAAAACAAAACAGACACAAGTGAAGGTGCCTGGCTCCTGGTTAAAGTAATTTCTCACTATAGCCTTTGTATTCATGGGTCAGGCTCATTTCTTCCCACATCTTATTTCAATGAGAGACGAATAAAATATATATTAAAAAGAAGTTTGCTTCATACTAGAAATAGGTTTGTTTTAAATAACAAAATATTGTTAAATAACACTACTACTACTACTATTAGTTGTTAAATAACACTACTACTACTACTATTAGTAGTAGTGTTATTTAACAATATTTTGTTAAATAACTATTAGTAGTAGTAGTAGTAATAATAATAGTAATAATAATAATAATAGAAGTAAGGAGGGAGAAATTAACTGAGTAGACCAGAGATGAGATTTTCCAATCTAGGCTTGTAGTATTAAGTGACTGAGGATGACAGAACCTTATATCTTGAGAAAATATGTTGAACAAAATTGGGGAGGTAGGAGACGAATTTTACAATATAACAGAGGTAACATTCAGCTTCTCAAAAAATAAATAAATAAAGAGGCACCATAGAGTTAGTACAGCAGATAGGGCACTTATTTTGCTCTTGGTCAGCCAGGTTTGATCCCCACCACCACATAAAGTCTTCTGAGTCTACCATGAATGATCCTTGAGTGCAGAGCCTGGATTAAGTCCTGAGCGCAGCCAGGATTAAGGTGTGCCCCCCCAAAAAATACAAGAAAGAGAAGGGTCTGAGAATGCTTTAGCACCCCACAGCATAGCACAATAGATTAAATTATACAATACATGATTAGGATAGAGAAGGATCCAGTAAGACAATGATAGTTGGAAATGATCACTCCGGGCAAGAACTGAGTGCTGAACATAGGGATATACACGATAACTTCTCGGTACCTACATTGCCAATCATAATGTCCAGAAGGAAAGAGAGTCAGAGAGAAAGAGAAAAGAAAAGTGCCTGCCAGAGAGGCAGGCTGGGTTGGGGCATGAGGGTGGGGGCAAGTTGGGAGGACTGAGGGAGGGAAACTGGGGACATGTGTGATGTACACTAGTAAAGAGGTGGGTATGGAAACATTTTATGACTGAAACCCAGTCATGAATAACCTTGAAACTTTGTATCTCATGGTACATGAGAGGAAACAACAGAGAAAGGGGAAGGGAGAGGGGGTAACAACTATTATTGTTCAAGTTATCGGCAGATATAATTTAAGATTAATTTTATGCTTCTGTATTTCTATAATATGCTTAAATGAGAAAATCTTATAATGTAAAGCTGGAAAATAATAACTGATTCTAATCATCTTTATACTAGCAAAGAATTTTTAGAAAACATTTTATATAAATAATTTAACTTACAAATTCTTTAGTAATAAAATATTAAAATTCCCCCAAATAACTATAGAAAATATTGTTACAAACCAATTTTATTGCTTTTCTTCTTAATTCCCATTCATTCCATTCATATGATCTCACAATTGTTGGTGGCAATATATGTGTATCTGTTTGTGTGCCAATTTCAGCCTTTGTAATTGGTTTTATATACTGTTTCTCAACAATTTTCATCTAAAATATATTGATCAAAATAGTAGAAAAAATAAGATTTTCTTTAACATGGAATATTTTTATAAACACCAGCTGTGAAAATAAACTCATAATTATTGAGCAAACTGTATTTCTTTTTCTGGACTAATGTTTATGGCTCTGACTGATTTTGTGAATTTAATATAGACAGAGGAAAACCTCCTCTACAAAGAAGAAAATCTAATTCTGTAGATCTCATTCATTGCCCTCTTCAGATGTGAATCCCTTTCAGATAACCTTTAAAGGCCCTCATCTGAGCCATTCTCTGCCTTACTTTATTTTTTTTATTTTTATTTATTTATTTATTTATTTATTTGCTTTTTGGGTCAGACCCAGCAATGCTCAGGGGTTACTACTGGCTTTGCACTCAGAAATTACTCCTGGCGGTGCTTGGGGGACTATATGGAATGCCGGGGATCGAACCCGGGTCGGCTGAGTGCAAGGCAAACGCCCTACCTGCTGTGCTATCACTCCGGCCCCCTCTGCCTTACTTTAAACCATTTAATAACATCAAAAACAAAGCATATAGTTATAATGTATAACTTTATATATAACTAGAGTATAAAATTAAACCAATATATAACTTTATTTAATTGACAATACTTACTGTTTTCAGAACACAATTGTAGTGTCCAAGAGTTACTACTTACTTTTGTGCTCATTCTTGGCCATGCTTGGGGGTGCCATGTGGTGACAGGAATTGAACCCAGGCCTCCCGCATGTGCTCGGTATATTAAGCTACTGATTCATTCCTCAATTACATTTTTTAATGTCATAAATTCTTTAAAAACCAAGTGTTCTCTGGGGCCATAGCAATAATACAGCATGTAAGGGCATTTGCCTTCTGCATGGCTAATCTGAGTTAAATCCCCAGGACCCCATATATTCCCCCAAGCCCTACCAGGAGTGATCCCTGGGCAAAGAACCAGTAGTAAGCCCTGAGCACAGCAAGGTGTACCCCAAAACAAAACAAAACAATCAAGTGTGTGCTTACTTGAGAATATGGAATGAGAGTTTCAAACTGTTGATGAAGTTCTAGTAGTTGAATTAATTCTGCATTTTTTTTGGCCTTTTCTTTAATTGCATCAATGTAAATTTCAGGATTATCTGAAAACAAATATGCAGCCTCCTTGGTATTGAAAGTATAATACATATCTTTATATTTCAAAATTCCAATTGCTGGATTTCCTGAAAACAAAGAAAAGAAATTGACTTAAGTTTGAAATATTAAGTGATTTTATATTCATAATACATTCACAGAATCATTCCCTATACATTCCATTTTTTACATGTAACTTAGGCTTTTATTTTATTAAAATAAAAGAAAATAAATATTTTATTTTCTTAAAATGTTATGGGCTGGAGCAATAGCACAGCAGGTAGGGCGTTCGCCTTACAAGCGGCCAACATGGCCGACCCGAGTTTGATTCCTCCGCCCCTCTTGGAGAGCCCGGCAAGCTACCAAGAGTATTCGGTATGCCAAACACAGTAACAACAAAGTCTCCAATGGAGACGTTACTGGGCCCGCTAGAGCAAATCGACGATCAACGGGAGGGCCTTTACCTTTACCTATAAAATGTTATGATTAGGGCTGGAGTGATAGCACAGCGGTAGGGCGTTTGCCTTGCACGCAGCCAACATGGCCGACTCGAGTTCGATTCCTCTGCCCCTCTCAGAGAGCCCGGCAAGCTACCGAGAGTATCTCGCCTGCACGGCAGAGCCTGGCAAGCTACCCGTGATGTATTCGATATGCCAAACACAGTAACAACAAGTCTTATGATGGAGATGTTACTGGGTCGCTCGAGCAAATCGATGAACAACGGGAGGACCGTGATACCGTGATACCGTGTTATGATTAGGTTGGGGTTGGAGTGACTATAGTACAGCCAGTAGAGCACTTGCCTTGCACACTGCTAACCAGAGTTTGATCCCTGGCACCCCATATGGTTCCCTGAATGCAGAGTCAGGAGTAAATCCTAAATACTGCTAGGTATGGCCAAAAAATATATAAATTTTATATATAAATTATATAAAATATATAAATTTTATATATTAGTATATCTAAATTTGAAAGTCAGTAAAATTATAGTCTATGTAAAATTACTATTAAATTATGTATTCTCATTTTTAGCTGTGATTTTATTTTTTAAATATTTTACTATCCAGATATAAGACATTTAAAAATCTTTTGTAAGAAGCACTAAGTCTTCTAGCTGGTTTTTTCAGATCTTCTTAAACTAAACTGTTTCAAGCACTGTTTAATTCCTTAAGACCAACAAAAATGAAGCCTCTTTTCCAAAATACAAATTTATAAATTAGAAAATATTTCACACTCTTAAAAATTTCTTCATAAGTAGTTAAACATCACAGCTTGTGAAAATTATATGGGACAGTAATATTATATTATTAATATGCTTTATTTATTCAAAATTATTGATCAACTCCTGGCAAAGGATATAATATAGAAGAAAGCAAAGCCCTTGATGTCAAGCAATCAGCAAATATACCATAGGCCAGAAAATTATCAATGGCGCAGGCCAGAAAATTACCAGTACCGCAGGACAAAAAATAAACAATTCAGGTTAAACACAGAGTGAAAGAAAGGAGGGTGAGATTGGAATTTTAAACTGGCTGACCAGGGAAGGCTGAAAAAAAAATGAGGGACAAAGGTGTGACTCCATCTGGAGGTAAAAATGGGCTTAGAAAGTTCAAGAACAGGGCTGGGATGGGAAGGGGGGAGAGCACAGAGAGTACAGAAGGTAGAGTACTTGCTGACACATGGGCAACCTGGGTTTGATCCCCATCCATCCTATATGGTCCCCAGAGCACTGCCAGGTGTAACCCCAAAACAAACAACAACACAAAAGAATAGGAGACTGAAAGATAGTACAGCAGGTAGGGCACTTGCCTTGCACACCACTGACCCTCGTTCAATTCCTGGCATCCTATATGACCATATGGGATGGTCGCATGGGAGTACTGCCATGAGTAATTCCTGACTGCAGAACTGCAGAGTCAAGAGTAACCCTTGAGCATGAGATTGGGTGTGGCTCCAAACCAAAAGTAAAGATATATATATATATATATATATATATATATATATATATATATATTCAAAAATAGCTAGAGGGGCTAGAGTGATAGTACAGCGGGTAGGGCATTTGCCTGGCACACAGTCGACCTGAGTTTGATTCCCAGCATCCCATATGGTTCCCCCGAGTACCATAAGGAGTAATTCCTGAGTGCATGAGCCAGGAGTAACCCCTGTGCAACCTGGGTGTAACCCAAAAAGCAAAAAAAAAAAAAAGAGTAGCTAGAATAGAAGGCCAGTCAGTGGGGCTGGAGTAATGAGCAAGGCACAGTGGTGACAATTAAGTCGGTGACATCATCTGTAAAGTGCTAGTGTCACTTTGGGACTTAAGCCACATGGACTGAGGTCCCACATGGAAGGAGAGGCGTCTTACTGAATTCCTCTGAGGCAAAGTTGCTGTGCTCAGGAAATAATAACGCATTAAGTAGAAATAGTGTAAACAGAAACAAAGTAATAAGCTCTTGTTTCATCAGAGGATTCTGAAACCCACAATCCCACAGCCATTCTACTTTTTACTTCTCTTTCACAGAATTATTGTTGGTGGAAGCTAAAAGACACTGGGGTGCTCCATTTTTCTGGTGTTAAACCTAAGTCCATAAAAGGCATGAGATTTGCTGAAGGTGACACTATTACTAGTGGTACAACTAGCATTAGAAACCATGCTCTTCTGAATCCTAAACCTATAGTTTTTCCCAACCACACCAGCTACCACTATTGATATTCATGGTCATTTTTCTCTGTTGTTTCTCATGACAACCTTATTTGGGAAGGAGGAGGGGGTAAGAGAGGACAGGTGAAAGCAAAAGGAAAGGACAGAAAGAACAGCAAAGAGAAGGGGGGAGGGGAAGCACCTAAACCCCATAGCTTTATACTTCTTCATGGCTGCTTATTTTTTTCTCCCCAATACCAGTGACTCTCAAGAGGTTTCCAAATTCTACTCTCATTTCCCCATGATAGTATTACTATCATTATAAAAGATAAAATTTTAAATGAGACAATTTGTGAATTCTCTAGTCTATATACACTAATGCTCTGTAATGAAAAAGATACCCAATTGCAAAACATAAAAAAAGAAATAAATAACAGAAAATGAGGGAGGAGGTTAGTTGTATAGAGGTATAAAAACAGCATTTGCCTTGCACGTGGCCGACCTGGGTTTAATCCCCAGCATCCCATATAGTTTCCCCAGCACCGCCAGGAGTAATTCCTGAGTGCAGAACCAGGAGTAACCCCTGAGCATCGCTAGGTGTGACCCAAAAAGCAAAAAAAAAATAAAAGTATAAAAACAATTGTCAGATAATTCTAATCCTAGCAGTTTCCTCTTATTACCAATTCAACAGAATTTTATTTGATAATAATTTCATATTGATTTCTGAGTTACTCTTTGTTTTGGAGAAGCTTTAATAATGTAGACCTCATAGAGAAATTTTACTTGATAAATTTTGGTTATTTCTTGAGAAATCTTATACAGAAATCCCTACCTATGTGAAAGGAATGTAATCATAAAGTGGTATTTTTAATAAACATGAAAGTCTTGTTTCTCTTTCGATATCATGACACCACAAAGATTGACACACATTCAAAAGAACAAAAGCAACCATTGCTGGCATGGATGTGGGGAAAAAGGGACGCTCTTTCACTGTTGATGGGACTTTCCAGCTTTTCTGGAAAACAATATTGGACTTTCCTTCAAAAACTAGAAATTGAGCTTCCATATGACTCCACAATACCACTTCTGGGAATATAGCCCGAGGGTGCAAAAAAACACAGTAGAAATGACATCTGCACCTATTCATTGCTACACTGTTCACAATAGCCCAAATCTGGAAACAACCCTACTGCCCGAGAACAGGTGACTGGTTAAAGAAACTCTGGTATGTCTTAGACAATGTAATACTGTGCAGCTGTTAGGAGAGATGAAGTCATGAAATTTGCTTATAAGTGGATAGACATGGAGAGTATCATGCTAAGTGAACTGAATCATAAAGAGAGGGACAGACATAGAAGGACTGCACTCATTTATAAAATAACATAATTTGAGACTGATACCCAGTGACAGTAGGCACAGGGCCAGGAATATTGCCCCATAGTTGGAAGCCTGTCTCATGAGCTGGGAGAGAAGGCAGCTGGAATAGAGAAGGGATCACTAAGACAATCATGGTTAGAAGAATCATTTGGGATGGGAGATGTGTCCTGAAAGTAGATAAAGGACCAAACATGATAACCTCTCAGTATCTGTATTGCAGACCATAATGCCCCAAAGTAGAGAGACAGTATGGGGGAAATTGTCTGCCATGGAGGAAGGGGGAGGGTGGGAAGGGGGTATACTGGGGACACTGGTGGTGGGAATGTGCACTGGTGGAGGTATGGATGTTTGATCACTGTATGATTGTAACTCAAACATGAAATCTTGTAACTGTATCTCACAGTGATTCAATAAAAAAATAAAATAAAAAAATAAAGAAGAAAGTCTTGTTTCTCTTTCAAGTAATTGCTTTGAAAGATGCTATATTTTAGTAATGCCATATTGGTAACAGGTTTGGAGTACTTTATTATGATTTGTAAGTCATTTTATAAAGGTCATTCTCTTCTTTTGATTTTATGGCATTCCATCACTTTAATTATCCTTTCCAATTTACAGCAGCCTATCAAATTTTATCATGAGCAATTTAAAGTGAAGATTTATCTGTATCATTTTTGTAATTCCTTTCCTTATTTATGCATCAGAGTCTATAATGCTTGAAAAAAGTGTGTGTGGAATAAAGAGGGTCTGGTGTTGGAGTCTGTGATGTAGCATTACAACTGTAAGACAATACAGAAACTATTATAACCTATGCAATACAAAATAAATTTTAAAAGAATTTTAATAATAAAAATTAAAAGTTAATGTCAGGGATAACACTTCATATAAAAAAAACTTGGGGCAGGGGAGTGATATTTCATTGGCATACCTGGAAGGAGAAGACCACCTTCTGTAGCAAATGTGAAAGGACAAAATCCTCGATACTGAATTACAAGTTTATCAAAATTTGCTGTTGTTTCTGGAAAAAGCCATTCATGTTTTTTGAAATCGGCCAAATGGACTCTCTCTTCTAAAATGAGTACAAGAAAAATTTGTCAATGAGAAGAGTAAACAACTCAAGAAAATGAGCACAAGAGATTAAAGTAAAGATAAAGCAACTTCATTCTTAAATAGTAGGGTTCTTAATAACATACTAGGTACCAAAATAAAAATGATGCGTCAGTATTGGGACCACTGATTTTTAGAACATTTGGGAATGAAGCAGGAAGAGTAAAGGAAGGAATTCTGATTACTTTAATTTTGAAAAGGCATAAATTTCGGTATTGGCTATTTGGTGAGTTTTGTTTTTAGTTTTTGCTTTTTGGTTTTGTTTTATTTGGGGGCCACACCTGGCAATGCTCAGAGATTACTCCCAGCTCTGTACTCAGGAATTGCTCATGATGGTATTTGGGGGACTATATGGGTTGCTGGGGATCAAACCCGGGTCATCCACATGCAAGACAAAGTTCTTTACCTGCTTTATTAGTTTCCGGAAAATTTTTGTACTTTACATTAAAAAAAAAAATTCTCCCTAGTGTTGTTTGGTTTACACCGAGTTAAAATTGATTAGCAAATTGACTAAAATTTTCTACACATGTAAAAATTACATATTTATTTTTAAAAAAACTGTTCCCCCAAGATTCTTGGGTTTTGCCCTCCTCTCGGCTAACCTTATTAGCTTATTAGCTAACCTTTGTACACCTATGGATCAGCACCTGTCTGCACACCAGTCTATGGAAACAGCAGATACAACCAAGGCAGTGGACCCGAGGTTTTCAAACTTTCTATATCTGCAAAACAATACAGTCCGAGAACTGGTGGTTAGAGATGTCCCCTGTGACTGACTCCTATAGCCGAACAGCAAACACCACAAAAAGACTTGTGAGTACAACTTAAAGTAAAGAGTGTGGGGGAAATAGACCTGTACTCTTTTCTCAAGTTATGTCTAGATGCACTAAACAGTGATGGAATGTAGAAATGTAAATTAAATTCAGTGAATATCTCAATTCACTCTAGTAGCTAGACAATGTTCTCATGAATAAAAAGGTTTACTGTATGGTGACAGCTCAACATGTGTAAATCTAAAGAGTTGCAAGTAAACTGTAGCCAACATGGTTGAGTTTAATATCTACTGTTGAAGAGGCCAACTTTTAAAATTTCATTTAGTATTTGCATAAATGTGATTTATAAAATAGAAAAAACTTCAATGTAAGGATTGTTTTAAATGTCTATGTCTTAGTTTTCAAATTTTATGTATTCTAATAGTTTAAGAATAAAAATACTTGAACTGGAGAGAGACTATATGAGTTAAGGCACTTACTTTTCATGTGCAACCAGGTTCAGTCACAGATATCACCCTGAACACAAAGCCAGAAGTAAGCCCTGAACACCTGGCCCCCATGACCCAAATGAATGAACATTCTTAAAATATTTATTCACTTTTTCAAGAATAGAATTAAAAAAGAAAATTTAGAGAGATCTATCTAATTCTACCTACTAGGAAAATTCCTTTTAGGAAACAACTCAAACCCTGGACAATGTTTTCACAATTTTTAAATAAAATTTTAAGTTCTCCACAAGGGATTGCCCTGCCACAGAGGCAGGGTGGGATGGGAGGGATGGGCGGGGGAGGGATATTATCCATGGTGGTGGAAAATGGGCACTAGTGGAGGGATGGGTATTTGATCATTGTATAATCGATACCCAAGCACAAAAAATTGTAAATCTACAACTGTATCTCATGGTGTTTCACTAATAATAATTTAAAAAAATTTTAAAAATAGTGAGTTAACAGTAAAAATAAATTTAAGTTCTCATAACAACAGGCAATATAATGTGATAAATAGCAATAGAAACTGTCTATTGAGATAGAAAAGGTAAAAAAAAAAGTTGTTTACTGATACAGACATCCCAGAGGTCAGAGAAATAGCATAGTGTGGGGGAGTGCTTGACTTTCACACAGACAACCCAGATTACATCCCCAGTACCACATGCAGTACCTCGAGTCCCACCAGGAGTGATCACTGAGCACTATTGAATGTGCCTCCCCATTCCAAAACAGAACAAAAGACTTCCAATCAGAATAAATGCATCTCTTAAAGGGACTATAATTAGCATAATTTTACAGAGAAAAAAATTGACTCAAGTTTCAACCTGAATCTAAAGTAGATATGTAGCAAATTGAATTTTAAATAAATGGAACTTCATGCATTCCACTTATTTGGTAATCAATATAGCAAGGATTAAAATACTTTATACAGCAAATCAATAATAAAGTCACTGATACTATAGTAAGCACAGAAAACCATTATTAACCAAAACATTAACAATAACATTAGGAATAGTTATTGTTGGACAGTAAGAATGCATTTGCGGGGCTGGAGCGATAGCCCAGTGGGTAGGGCGTTTGCCTTGCACATGGAGGACCCGGGTTCGATTCCCAGCATCCCATATGTTCCCCTGAGCACTGGCAGGAGTAATTCCTGAGTGCAGAGCCAGGACTAACCCCTGTGCATTGCCAGGTGTGACCCAAAAAGAAAAAAAAAGAATGGATTTGCATGATTTCTTTTTCTCTATATTTTCTATAATGGACACTAGTACTTTTAGAATCTAGATGCTTGATAGTTGCCAGAAAAATATAACGAATATTTTAAAACAAAAGGTGACTTTGTTCTAGTAAAAATTTTAAGAGAAGAGAAAATAGTGGATTATTTCAATTACCCATGTGTTCTTTCAGTCTCTCTATATCAGTTTTCACTGTAGCTCCATCAAGAAGATTTAGCAAAAATTTCTCAGGAAAGAGTAAATCATGAGTGCCCAGAAATGACTCAAGGCGAGTAGTTAAATTACTGAGGATACTAATCAAAACCGTTTCATCCTGAAAGCAGGTCCACAGATTTGAAAGTGCAATGAAGGTGGGCTGAGGAAAAAGAGGGGAAATTCCAAAATATAACCATTTAATAAAATTAAAATCACTATACTCTTAAAAATAAAGACAAATTTTATTTGTAAGCAAGTTAAATTTTCCTTAAGTTATAACCTCATTAAGAGAGACAATAGGATCTAGATAGAAATTGGTCTCATTAATTATGAGAAAATAAACATTTTTATTTCAAATAATTTTATTTTTAGGATTGTCATAAAGTTAGTCTACTCAAAAAACCCAAACACATTTAGTGTACTCAAAAGAACCCAAACATCATCTAAAAAGTACTTATGAATGCTTACTCCAAAATATCAAAGGGGAATTTTTACTGCTAAGAGTATAGACCTGCTTGATTCAATGGAACCGGGAAGGGGTGACCTTTGCCCATGTCCGCCAGCATTTCAGGGAACTCGCAGTCACACCCACAAGCCATCTCTGGCTGGTGCCAGATAATCTCATCAATTGCCAGGATCCAGAGACTCATTGTCCTCTCTTGGAAGAGAGCATAAAATGACACTGCCATAGCCTTGCCCCTGGAGCCCGTGCCAGGTTGTTTCATTGGGGGTACCCCAGAGGAGGGCAGGTGAGGCCCCTCCCCTCCCCAAGGGACCCCGCCCCAGTAGCCAAAAACCTCCAGAACTCAACTGCCACCCTGCTCACGGCCACTCTCCACATGCTTGGGCTAAGCCTCACCCACAAGTGAACCTATCCCTGGACCGAATAGCTGTGAATTCCTCTTACCACTCATGCTCCAAGAGTAGCGCACCACACTTGATGAGGTTTAAAGTAGAAGACAACCAATCTTAGAGGAAAATATATTTTTCCAGATACACACACACACACACACACATAAAACACACAAGGCTCAACCCTTAACAACATATTAGTGATCTCTTATAGAAGGGCTTAATGGCCCCTGGGTGAAATACAACAATCTTCACACACTCTCCTCTAATGAAAGTTTTTGGAACATTTTCAGTGGTTTATTCATAACAAACAATACAAAATAAATTAATTTGGTTCTGCTTCGGGGCAGGGATTGGGGTTCGGGATGGAAACGTCCAAAATATGGTGGTGGGAAGGTGTAATGGTGGTGGAATTGGTGTTCAAATATTAAATATAATCAAATATTGTGAACTAGTTTATAAAAATAAAATTAAATTAAAATTAAAAAATAGAGTGTATTGACCTGCTCACACTTATGAGTAATAACTTACAGTTATGGTATTCTTTGATAAAATTAATTTTTCCCACTCTTAAATAAACAACCAAAATGTCAAATGGAAAATCTTTTTTATTTTCAAAGTTAAATGTGGTCCATAATTGGATTTATTTGCTTTAATCACAATCAAACTATTCTGGAAAGATAGTTATTGGGGCCTGAGCAATAGTATAGTGGGTAGGGCGCTGGCCTTGCACGTGGCAGAGTCAGGTTCCATTCCCAGTATCCCACATGAGCCCCAGAGCCCCACCAGGGGTGATTCCTGAGCACAGAACCAGTAGTCCAGAGCAGTCCTGGGTGTGACTTAAAAACCAAAACAAAGAGACAAAAATTCTAGAAAGCCTGGAGATTAATCTTGTGAACTACCAGTTACTGATCTTTTTTTATCTCGTAAGAATTAAAATTTTTTAATCTTATTAAGACCACTTGATATGTAGAATATTCAAATTGAAAGTTAATCAGTTTCTCATTGTTAATGAGACAACTTAGCCTTGATTTCCTGGTTTGTAAAACCAAATATTAGGAATGACTATAAAAAATTAACACACACTCAAATGGTCTATATACAATAGTGTGTGAACCTTGTACTTCCTTAGTACTTCAGATTTGTCCATAAAATGGGGCAGATTATAAGTCAGTACAAGTACAGACCTGGTAAACAAAATGATTATTATATCTCTTTAGAAGGTCTCATTGTCTCTTTGCTAAAGGCAATTTCTAAGCAACTATCAGGAACACAGTTTCAACACTGTACTGGAAACGATTTCTACTGCTACAACTGATAGTGATACTATAGTTCTTAGAGATATATATGAATTTGCTTTAATTCAGTAATTGGCTGGGAAAGGAATCAATTCTCTTATACAACTCTATAAATGAAAGCATCAATTTGTATACAACTAATATATATTTAGCATTTTAACATAACTGTAATTACCTTTGATCAAAATTGACAGGATCCAAAAATATGCTGAATAAAGGCAAAGTTAGTGAAAAATACTTACAAAGACTTGTGAAGTTGGGACAGCTGTTTTTGAGTTTACTGTCAATTTTAAGTGTTCTAGCTGGGCTCCAAACTGCTTTTCCATCATATCCAATTCATCACCACAAGCAATTATATCTGACTATGTAGATAACATATTTGCATTAAAATTGTATAAATTCACTACAAAAAAAGTGTTAATTGTTACTTTCCCAGCATCCTCTGAAGGTAAGTTCAGTGAAAACTGGGAATCAGTCTCAATATACCCTACAAGACAGAAATGAAACTGGAGCTCCAGAAATAGTTATTGGGTAGATTGAAACTCTTTTTGGGGAGTGGTTAGGCCACACTCAGCAGTGCTCAGGGATTACTCCTGGTGGGGTTGGAGTACTGCCGAGAGTTATCTCAAGCATAGACCTAAAAGTTGTTCCTGAGCATCCCTCTTATGGCCCCATCAAACTCTCCCACACCCCCACACCCCGCACCCCCCCAAAAAACCCAAGCTAGAATTCTTCTAACATATACACAAGCATTTTATTATAGTATCTAAGTACTATCCTCAAAAATAGATTCAATGATAAAGCTTATCTGAGTTCCTACTTTCCCATTCCTCACCTATTTTGGTAGCAATAAAATCAGATTCAAGGATAAGTAAGTAAAGTAAAGGCCCTCCCATTGTTCGTAGATTTGCTGGAGCGGGCCCAGTAACGTCTCCATTGGAGACTTTCTTACTGTGTTTGGCATATCGAATACATCATGGGGAGCTTGCCGGGCTCTGCAGTGAGGCGAGATACTCTTGGTAGCTTGCCGGGCTCTCCGAGAGGGGCGGAGGAATCGAACTCGGGTCGGCCATGTTGGCTGCGTGCAAGGCAAATGCCCTACCGCTGTGCTATCGCTCCAGCCCCAGATTCAAGGATATAGGAAAAAAATTAAATCACATTGAAAGAAGAACAATAAATTTCTTTCTTCTCTTCCTTTTCTTCTCTCTCCCCCTCTTCTCTCTGTTTCCCTCCCTCCCTTCCCCTGTCATCCCCCTCCTTTCTGTCTCACCCCCCATCTCTCTCTCTCTCTCTCTCTCTCTCTCTCTCACACACACACACACACACACACACACACACACACACCAGGACTGCACAGCTGCACCCAGGGTTGCTCCAGGGATCATGTGGTCCTGGAAATCCAACAGAGCTCAGCCCCATGCTAAGCATGTGCCCTAACCACTGTAAATCTCCCAATCTCCTTAATCTGAAACAACAATCATCATCTGAAAACACCATCTACAACTGTTGAATTTTTTTGGCTTTGGATGACACCCAGCGATGCTCAGGATTTACTTCTGGCTCTGTGCACAGGGATTACTGCTGCTGGGGATTTGGGGGACCATATGTGGAGCTGAGGATTGAATCAAGATCAGCCACATGAAAAGTGAGTGACCTACCCACTGTACTATCACTCTGGCCCAAATTTTAAATGATCACATTTATTCTTAAGAGAATAAATGTTATAATAAATGATTATATAGCATAGCGGTAGGGTGTTTGCCTTGCACGCGGATGGCCCAGCTGAGCCGGGTTCAATTCCTCCACTCTTCTCGGAGAACCTGGCAAGCTACCGAGAGTATCTCGCCCGCATGGCAAACTCTGGCAAGCTACCATTGATGTATTTGATATGCCAAACATAGTAACAAGAAGTCTCACAATGGAGACGTTACTGGGCCCACACGAGCAAATCAATGAACAATGGAAGGACAGTCTTATATAATTATATACTATATTCAGGCTGGAGTGATATGATAGCACAGTGGTTAGGGCATTTGCCTTGCATGCAGACCCCCGGGTTCGATTCCTCTGTCCCTCTTGGAGAGCCCAGCAAGCTACCAAGAGTATCCCGTCGGCACGGCAGAGCCTGGAAAGCTCCCCATGGCATATTGGATATACCAAAAAACAGTAACAACAGGTCTCATAATGGAGATGTTACTGAGCCCCCTCGAGCAAATCAATGAACAACAGAATAGTGCTACAGTGCTACAGTAATATGATATATTACCATATATCATATTAAATATTAAATTAGGTATAGAACTATGATCACGGGGTGCTTGAATTTATACAATTGAGCTTGAATTTATATGCACGGGGAGCTTGCCAGGCTTTGCCGTGCGGGCAAGATACTCTCGGTAGCTTGCCGGGATCTCCGAGAGGGGTGGAGGAATCGAACCTGGCTCGGCCAGGCTGGCTGCGCGCAAGGCAAATGCCCTACCACTGTGCAAAATATAACAATAATAATGATGAGTTCCAACTACCTACAAAACAGTATGTTAGACACTTGCTCTGAATCAAAACCATGCAGTATAACTTTGCACTGCATTAGCACCACTTACAGTACTAACAGTACTGTTTTTGTTGTTGTTGCTGCCACTACTTGGTTTTTGGTTTAGAGGCCTCATCTGATGATGCTCAGGGGCTACTCCAGGCTCTGTCTCTGGGGATCATGAGGCAGTGGGAGGAATCTCCCTTATACAGAGCATACACTCAGCCCACTGAGTGATCTTTCCAGCCTGGCCTGGCATACTGTTGTACATGTAAGACAACTTGACTTCAACATTCTAACAATCAACCCACCAAAGAAGCAATGCTTATAAAACTGATTCCTAAGATATACTCAAAACCCCATTAGCATTTCAGTTCCTAGTCCTACAGATGTAAGAAAATTTCATCAGTTATTTAAGTTGTCTTCTTTGCTTTTTTCCTGGGGGGTGGGGGCACACCCAACAATGTTCAGGGATTATTATTTCTGGATTTGCATTCAGGTATCACTCCAGGTGGTGCTCAGAGGACCATATGGGATACGAGGATTGAACCTGGGTTGGCAACATGCCAGGCAAATATTCTATCTGATGTACTATTATTCCGGCTCCCAAGGTTACCTTCTTATCAGTTCTACCTCTTGTTTGAGTCCTGTAATATACACAGATGATACAGTTTATAGAAAAAGAATCAAATCCCCTGACATGAACTTACCAGAATGATCTTTAAGTAGACCTCATACTGTCGTATATTATATAGTGCTTCTTTCAACATATATGACTTAAGTTCTACACCCAAGAGGGGGTTCTTTGCGACTTTCTCAAGAATGGCTGTGTAGCAGTAAGCCTGCTCCTGGGCACTCTGAAGCTGGTCATTAATATGCTGAATCGTGGCTTCAATCGCTTCCTGCAGAATAGCTGGCACTGTTTCCAAATGTGTATTGAGATGCACAAGAGGGATATAAAAAGAAGTCATATTTTGAGTATCAAACTGAGAGATGTTTATTTCCTCAACCATATTAATAACAGGCATTTCATGGGTTTTAAGAAATAAAGGAAAGAATTAAAAAGAACTTACACGGGGTTTGAAGTGACAGTACAATGGGTAGGGTAATAAAGGAAAGAATTAAAAAGAACTTACACGGGGTTTGAAGTGACAGTACAATGGGTAGGGTACTTGCCTTGCACATGGCAGACCCAGATTTCATCCCAACACCTCAAGTCCTGTCAGGAATGATCCCTAAGCACAGAAATGGGAATAAGCCCTGAACACCACCTGGTGTGGCGCCAAACCAAACAAAACTTGTATAAACCAAAATGTTATCAGAATGGCAACCAAAATATGTAAATGTCAAAGAAAAAGGAGACTTGGGTATTATACGCTTTTCAGGAGGTACTTGTAGAAAAGTTACTATTACCTTTTCTTCTACATACCTTCTTTTCTATTTGTGAAAACAGGGAAAAAATTAGTGGGCAACATAAGAAATCTATTGGGCTTTTTTTGGTGGGGGTTGGAAATTGAGCTCACACAGTAGCTCTTAGGGTTTACTCCTGTCTCTGTAGTCAGGAATCTTTTTCTGGCAGTGCCCAAAGGACCATATGTGATTCAGGGATTGAACTGAGGACAACCATGTGCAAGGCAGGGTCCTTACCCCCTGTACTGTCTCTGTAGCCCAAGGAAGTCTATTGGGATATTGAAAAACAAAATAATCACATAGGTAAAATGAAAAACTACCAGAAGAATGAGAAGTTGAGTTTTTAATCGTTTTTAATCCAAAAATTACTCAATTTTACTAGATTAAAAAGAATTGTTAAAGACTAACACTTTACCAGTGAACCTACATGTGTGCCAAGTTCATAAGAAAAATATTTTTACTTGTAATTCCTAAATGAATATTTCATCAGTAATCTCAAGCTTTAAGTAATGAATGCATTAACTATGTAACTGCATAGTAAGTTCTTCTAGATCTATAAATTAGCAAGTATCACCTCTTAAACCTTTTATTCCACAAACTGCATAAACAACTGTTTTCTTTTCAAGGTGATTATTTGTTTATATATTATTTTTGTGGTACTAGGGATCAAATCCAGGGCCCAACAAATGCAAGGCAAATGCTCTACCACTGAGCTGCATCCATGATGAAATTTATGATGAAATTTATTTTTTCTTTTCTTTTTTTATTTTTGCTTTTAAATTGAATCACTGTGAGATACACAATTACAAAGTTTTTGTGACTGGGTTTCAGTCATACAATGTCCCAACACTCTTCTCTTTACCAGCATACATTTCTCACCACCAATGTCCCCAGTTCCCTTCCTGCCACTTCCAACCCCAGAGCAACCTGTCTCTAGGCAGATTATCTCCCTCTCTCCCTCCCTCTTTCTCTCCCTCTCTCCCTCCCCCCTCTCTCCCTTCCCTTCCCTCTCCTCACTTTCCCTCCCCTCCCCTCTTGTCTCTCGTTTCCTTTCCCCTCCCCTCCTCTCTCCCACTCGCCCCCTCCCCCTCTCCCTTTCTCCCCACCCCGACGACCCCTCCTTCTCTCTCTCTCTCTCTCTCTCCCCCCTTTCCATCCCCCCACCCTTTTGGGGCATTATGGTTTGCAATACAAGTACTGAAAAGTTATCATATATATTCCTTTACCTACTTTTAGCACTCAGTTCTTGTCCAGAGTGATCATTGGCAAATTCATTTTTATATCATTGAGTTTTACACCCTTTGGGGTACATGACTTGGAGTAAAGACTGCAAAGCCCACTGAACTGGGGCATAGCGGAGGGTTTTGGTCTCTGGGCAGTACCTAAGAAACAGTCTTAGCTGAACCTAAAAAAACAGTCAAAACTACAATCCTTAAGTAAAACCCATGGCATGTTGTGTGTTAGTCTTCTTACTATGAAAATTAAGTTTTAAATCATAGTAATCTATACAACTAAACTAACGATATACTTACAGTCATCAATGCCTTCTCCTCCCTTCCCACAGTCTCGGTTAAATAAACGAATTCCAGTTACAATCATGGTGAGTTCTTTCAACTGACGTTCTTTGTCCTTCTTCATAAGAGTTAGAAATGTCACAAGTTCAGCCTGAGGAAAAATACTCTGTAGAGCAGCTAAAACAAACCACCAAATGGACAACAATAAAAGAAATTAGAACTTCAATTCCTTTGAACAGAAATTTAAGGGACTTGTCTTTACAGTTACTTCCATAAATTGTTCATATGTCATATTGGGTTATGGAGTATAAAACTATTGGTTCCTTGGTGCTGGAGAGAGAGTACAATACAGGGGATAGGGCATTTGCCTTGCATGCAGCTGTCCTGAGTTCAATTGCCACCACTTCATATGGTTCCCTGAACCCCAATGAACCCCCTGAGTACAGAGCCAGAGCCAGGAGTAAGTCCCAAACACCAAGAGTAAGTCCTGAGTGTGGTCCCTAAACCAAAAAACACACAAGACTTACCTACAGCTCATTTTCAATAGGTAAGCGTCTATCAGTAATTGTTTCAGCAATGAATTTATCTGTAAGGCTCTGTAGACAAATGTGTCTACAATCTTAGAATATTTAAGGAAAAAAAATTATAGAAAGGCTAGAGATGCTTCCTATTCCTAATCATAAGGGTGAAAATGGACAAGTGTTTGCTGATAAATTCATGTCCTTCTCTGTCACACACTTTAGGTGAAAGGCTTGACCATATTCATGATATGGAATCTCTATTTTCCTCAGTCAGCCTGGCACCCTTAGCTATATCTCTGTAGCACTGTAGCAACTTTCCTCCTGTTGTTCATCAATTTGCTCGAGCAGGCACCAGTAACGTATCCATTTTGAGGCTTGTTGTTACTGTTTTTGGCATATCGAATATGCCATAGGGAGCTTGCCAGGCTCTGCCATGCAGGCAGGATACTCTCGGTAGCTTGCCTGGCTCTCAGAGAGGGACAGAGGAATTGAACCCGTGCAAGGCAAACGCCCTACCCACTGTGCTATCGCTCCAGCCCCGCTATATTTCTAGAGTTATTAATAATCCCCTAATAAGGATTAATCAGTCCCTAGATATCCATAACTTTAAGTAAAATAACACTATTCACCTTGGGTTCTACAGTTCATAGTATAAAAAGAATATGACTAAATTTTAACCTCTTATCTGGGCTTTTCTTTTTCTTTTTCTTCCAGATAAAAGGAAACTTCAGTCTTCAATGCTTGTAATTTAACATCATAAATTAGATACAGCACTCACATATGTCCACTTATAGAAAGGAGATTGTGTATACTTTTCACCTGTTGCCTCTCTGACAATCTTGATATCTGTAGGAGCTCCAAGCCCAGAGCGCAGTAGCACATAGCTGACGATTTTTCGGTAGAGACTTCCTAGCTCTTCTCTGGTGCTAGCTCTGTTATCTGTAATTTCTCTGGTAACAGAGACCAATCTGGACTCCAAGACCCGGTGATGCTCTTCAAGAAATTCCTCTAAAATTGGCAAATAACAACATTCAATACATTTGATACTTAGAATTCTTTTCACAATAAGGAAGTGGGACATTGAATAAAAAAAAAAGCTTTGGTAGACCAGAGACTGGAGTGATAGCACAGCAGGTAGGGCGTTTGCCTTGCATGCGTTCAATCCGGGTTCTATTCCCAGCATCCCATATGGTCCTCTGAGCACTGCCAGGAGTAATGCAGGAGGAATGCAGAGCCAGGAGTAACCCCTGTGCATCACTGGATGTGATGCAAAAGTAATAATAATAATAAAGCAATAATAATAATAATAAAATAAATCAAATTTAAAAAATTTTTAAAAAGAGCTTTGGTAGACCAATTCTCCTGCATGAAAATAATGCTTTCTTGAGATGAAGTACTCAAAAACAGGGCAGGCTGGAGGACTATGAGGTGCTGTGGATTGAACTCAGGGCTCCTGTATACAAATCATGCACTCCAGCCAGTTAACTATTTTCCAGCCCCAAAATATGAGACTTTAAGTTTATCTAGGGGTCTAGGATGGTTCAGTAATAGTGCACTTGCCTTGCATGTGTAAGGCCTTAGGCTTGAGCTATCTGCCAGTAATAAATATTTATCTGTCTACTTATCTATCGAGCCTCACATAGTTCATGCATATGTGCATGCAAATATTCCTGTCAGTTATGTATGCTTTTCTTTGGGTAACACAAAAATCTCTTTTGAGTAATATTACTGTTAATATGATGGTGCATCAAGAACTATGTGCATCCCAAATGTCCCTGCTCATTCCCCCATGATAGAAGGTATAGGCTTAATTGTGGCAGTAAACACAGTCCAAAAATTGTATAATTCTTGCATCAAATTAAGATACTTTATTGTTATAAGGGTATTATTATATTATTATTTATCATATCATCCATGTGTAGGTCCTATGTATGCTCTTAATAAAAATAAAAATATATAATAAAAATAAACTAAGAAATGTTTTCAGAGGTCAGAGAGATAGTACAGCAGGCAGGATGCTTGCCTTGAATGGGCTTGAGCTATCTGCCAGTAATATATATCTTTCTATCTGTCTACCTATCTATCTACCCTCACAGAGTTCATGCATATGTGCATGCAAATATTCCTGTTAGTTATACATGCTAACCTGGGTTCAATCCCCAGAACTCCATATGGTCCCCTGAGTGCACCAGGAGTGATCCTTGAGCTCAGAACCAGGAGTAAGCCCTGAGCACCACTGGCTGTAGTCCAAACCCATACACCCCGGCAGAGAGAGAGAGAGAAGAGAGAGAGAGAGAGAGAGAGAAGAGAGAGAGAGAGAGCTCACGTTTTTAATATAGCAATATGTAATATGATTTTTACACGTTATATAATTGATACACATAAAGGGTTAAAAATGCAATGAAAATCAGCAAAAGGTTCATAATGATTTAATGATTGCATTATCCAGGGCATATTGAATTTATTTTTCCTTTTTTCCCCCATCCCCAATTTGTTTTTGATGTAGGCATTAAGATGTCTGTATAAGAATATTTGTTCTTCATTGTATAATTGAAACCCAAGCACAAAAATTTGTAAGTTTACAACTGTACCTCATGGTGTCTCACTAATAAAAATTTTAAAAAATTTTAAAAATAAAAAATTTTTTAAAAATTTTTAAAAAAAAATATATGTTCTTAAATTTCCCATGCTTTTCTTTTGGGGTATTTATAAAAGTAGGTAAGTATTGTAAAATTAAAATATAAATTAAGTATTTTAAAATAATCAAATTAAAATCTTTGTTAGGTGGAATGGTTTTAATTGTAATGTATTATGTAGTAAATAAATAAGGCAAATTAGACTTAAAAACATTATTATGGAAATAATGATAAAAATTAACTTTTAATGCTCACAGAAGCTATCTTTTAAAATTTATGATTTCCAACGTTATTTCAAAACTAGAAAAAATTTCGAAAGGCACAAAAAGTTGAAATGTTCAGTGTCAACCAAATGAAGCTCCCCTTACCTGAAATACCATATGAATCACTTGTAAAAAAGGTATTAGAGTAGATGGATGTTTACCTCGATTTGTATAATTCATATCAAAGTAGACCTGCATTTTAATGGTGTCCAGGGAGGGATTTTTAGTATCCAATAGCCGAATTGTACAAAGCTAGAAAAGAATAATCCATGAATGTTTCTACTTATATTTTCTGAAGCACTAAGAAGTATTTTCAGAAGTTATTTTAAAAACCAAAGAGAAACACCAGTAATAGTTTCTGATACTTATCTACCAATCCACCCTTTATTTTTGTTCTGTTTGAGGACTTACTCTTGGTAGATCACCCAAACAGCAACCTTTATAAAATAATAATGCATTTCCCCCAGTCAACCAATATCACCATAGCCACTTGGTCTAGTTGAAGCCAAGAAACTTGACACTTTGGTCAGCCCACACAGTCTGAAAGTTGAATATTGTTCCATTAAGCTGATGCTCGGTTCATCTAGAGTTCTTCATTACTATTTGACCCTTGAACACCTTCCTTTTTTGTTACTCTGAGCAGTCTTCTTAAAAGCTACTGCAGCTAATCCTCCTCTGCTCACACATTTGTCTAGCCCTGCATTCTGCTTCAAAATGTTCTCTTTCTCCCTCTTACCTGCATGTAAATAATGTACTCCCTCTCTCTGTTTTGCCCCTTTAGAGAATTAACCAGAATTTCTCTTTTCCTGTACTCTTCTTCTTGTAAGTCTATTTTGTAACTTCTTTTCCATCTCATTGCTGAGCTTTTAGAGACTGCAACCTGTCAGTTGTTCCATGACCCTCTCTGCAAGCAGCCATCCTGCTTTCTGAGCAGGAAGGAGGGAAGAGCAAGTGTGAGGATTGCTCCCTACATGGAGAATGTGTACTTGGGTCCCTAGAGGTAAAAAAGCACTGTTCAAAACACAGACTTTCATTGGCTCTACACAATTTTTAACAGAGGGATAAAAAAGTGTGTGGGGGGGGTGGAAGGACTAGTCATGTATATTATATATATACTGTTGGTTGCTGGAGGCTGGAGCGATAGCACAGCGGGTAGGGCGTTCGCCTTACAAGCGGCCAACATGGCCGACCCAAGTTCGATTCCTCCGCCCCTCTCAGAGATCTCGGCAAGCTACCGAGAGTATTGGATATGCCAGACACAGTAACAACAAAGTCTCCAATGGAGACGTTACTGGGCCCGCTCGAGCAAATCGACGATCAACGGGAGGGCCTTTACCTTTTTTACCTTTTACTGTTGGTTTATATAGATGTCATATTAAAAGTATATTAGGGGGCTGAAGCAATAGCACAGCAGGTAGGGTGTTTGCCTTGCGTGTTGCCAACCTGGGTTCTATTCCCAGCATCCCAGATGGTTCCCTGGGCACCGCCAGGAGTAATTCCTGAGTGCATGAGTCAGGAGTAACCCCTGTGCATCGCTGGGTGTGACCCAAAAAGCAAAAAAAAAAAGTATATTGGGAGCCAGAGAGTATAGAGATCGAAAGATGCTTGCCTTACATGGAGTCACCTGGGTTCAAGTAAACCTAGGATTGAACACAACTGGGTGTGGCTCCAAAACTAAACCAAAAGGACAACAAAAATATTTGGTTTGAATTTTTTTCCATCTTAGTTGAGTTGGAGGGGGGAAAAATCCAAAACTCATGGCAAGACAAAAACTTATATCCTGTCCCCTCCTTCACTGTCCTCCATAGATTTCCAAGAAAAATTACTGACAATCAAAATCAATTTCCTTATGTCAAAAACATGCACTGCACTACATTTAAAATTACCCCGGGAAGAAGTAGCTCTAGACTGTCCTGAAGATTCAGGCTAACAATTGATGCCCCATCTCTCTACTTTCCAGTCTCCTGTGACACCTCCAGTGTCCACAGAGCCCTACGGTCCACTCTGAATTATTGTCTGTATAAGAGGAGGGGGATCAGTTTTCCCTTTCGGAATATAAATTTGAGGACATTTGTTCCATGTCCTTATAATCATTAAGCCCAGAAGAATAAAAATGATGTTGCATTCTTAGGAAATACATATAGAAAAAATATTAATGTCCCTATAGTCAGTGAAGTCAAATTATACATACAAATCAGTAATGGTATCTAAAGATCTTGCTTTCTTTAGTTCTTAAATATGATTTACAGGCACATCTACTTGAGTTCTATGTATTATCTTTGCTTTAGTTTCTGGATTTCCTTTAGAATTGAAAAATTATTATATTGAATTAATAAATTTTATAAATATTAATTTTATGTAACTTCATAGTATAATGAAAGACAGTTAATGTTCCCAATGTAACATTGGATAATAAGTTTTCTCTCCTTTTCTCTTTCTCTATCTCACTCTCCTCTCCTCTCATCTCTTTCTTTCTCTCCCTTCCTCCTTCCTCTTATTCTTTAAATAAAACTATTTTACTTCAAAAATCAATTAATGCCCCTGGATCCCTTACAACTTTATTCTGGTAAATATATGCAAGCAGACAGGAGGAATTCTTGGTGGGGAAATACTGTTTTTCAGATAGAAAATATTCAGTTAGTACACACTTTTTGCCCTCTGTATTCTCCCCGTTATACCTGCCTAGAGGTGAAGCAACTATCCTGTGTCCCTGAGACGGAAATCGTACATGCCAACTGTGATGACGCAGGAAGACAGGAAACTAGTCTCTGTAGTTAGGCTAGTTTTGTTTCTGATATAATGAATGCCTCATTTGTTTGCACCATTGTTCTACTTGGATTATTTTGTTTCATATGGCTGAAAGCAATAATGGTTGATATAAATACTGCATTTTCAACTGAAAATGATGATTTACCTTAACAAGTTTCTGCACATCACTTTTTAGGAGGGTTCTTTCGATGTTAAAACCATTACTTGGATCCAAGACGACAGCTTTCACCTATGATTATGAAAGAATCTGTTAATTTGCTGCATATTTTATGAAATTTAGGTTATGTGCATTCTCTCCCCCTCACTCCCCACTCTCTCTTACTCTCTCATTTTTGAGCCACACCTAGTGGTGCTCAGGAGCTACTGGCACTGCACTCAAAGTTCACTCCTGAACAGGCTCAGGGATCCTCTGGGGTGCCAGGAATCAAACTCAGATAGCCTGCATTCAACACCCTACCACCCTCTATACTATCACTTTGGCCCCTGGTATCAACATTTCTATTTTAAACAACCACCTCTTAATTACTCAGGAGTTAATTATTTAGCTGTCTCTCTTATTCTCCACCTTACCAACACTTTTGCAAGAGAAGTTGAAAAAAGGAAGCAATGAACATGAAAGTTGAATATGATAGCAGAAAATTTAATGGGGCAACATGTTCAGCGTAACAGCTAGTTCTTATGCTGGGAAAACTATTTGCATATTTTTTGATATTTTAATTTTGCATCGATAACCAAAAGCAAGGACAGGAAAACCAAAGTAATGAACAATTTTTACAAGAGCACACAATGATACATGTTTTAAAAAACACTTCAATAGAAACAGCAGGAATACAACAGTGGTAGGGTAGGGCACTTGCCTTGCATGCAGCTAACCTGGGTTTGATCCCCGGCATCTCATATGTTCCCCTGAATTCGCCAGGAGTGAACCCTGAGCAATGAACCAGGAGTGACCCCTGACCATTGCCAGGTGTGGCTCAAAAAACTTCAACACAAAAGTTTTTTGAAGTCTCTAAAACTCATCAAGATAATTCTAAACCAGTATCTGTAAATCTAAAATTGATATACATTGGCAAGAGAGAGAACTCCCCAGAAGTCCTTGAGGGCCAGACACCACCCCAGACTGTAAGTGGCCCTGCTGGAGCCTAACTGTGGTGGGGAGCACTAGGGCCACCCCGAAAGTGTTCAGCTAGAGGCAGATGGCAGGATCCAGTTTGATGCTCACTGCACCTGCTCTCCAGACCCCAAGCTTTCCCTCCAGGCCCTGACATGCCTTGCAGACTTAAAAACATACTTCCACTAACCGGTCAATGATTGCAATACATTCTCAACATACAGAATAACACCTAAGATGGTTTTACAGCATAATAGAGGAAAGTGGTTACCTCTTAAAGACATTTTAAAACAAATAGCAATCCACAGAAGTATTCATTCTCACCATAAAAGCCACCAAAGTTTCAGGAACAGTCTCGCCATGAGCTGCACACTCTTGTCCTATTTCTCGAATTATATTCTTTATCACACTCTCTGCTTGTGTGGGAGGCATTCTGCCTAGAAAGACAAACAATGATGAACTTCTTTAAAAGTTGTATATAGGTAGACAGATATAGATGTATGCATATATATAATTTCTTCCTCTTTAGGTTATTCCTCTATTATATAATTAAGAATTGGATCATTATTAATGTATTGGTATTTGTTGTCTCCACTCCTATTTTTCATTACCTTACTTGATTATTAAGCTGAAGAATTGTTGACAGAGCAATTGTTGACAGAGCAAACGCAATTTCAAAGAATTGACCCCTTTCCGTCTCCTTTTTACTTAATGTTGTTGACCAAAAGTGCACTTAAGTCGTGATTTTTTAAAGAAACTGCATAGTCTGGTAGCAGCTGGAGTGGTAGAATTAATGAAAATTTCTTTTCTACCTGAATAGGCAGAATCATATACTCTAAAGGAGAAATGCTTATTCCACAATTAACTATATAACTTTTCATAATTCTATGAGAATCAGAAAATGATTATCTTTTGTTAGGTTTGTTGTTTAGGTTGGATTATGCCTGGCGGTACTCAGGACTGACTTACTCCTGTTCTGCCCTCAGGGATCATTCCCAGTGGGATTCAGGAGACCAAATGAGGTGCTGGGGATCAACCTGACTGGGTGACACACAAGGTAAGCACCCTACCAACTCTACTATGTCTCCAGCAATCCCCGTGATTCTTATTTGAATCATCTAAATTCTCTTTCCTGCATTTGTTAGAACTTAAGATTCCTCGATTGTAAAGAAAAGCAAAGAAACAAAACAAAGTGAGAGCTAGGCCTGGTGGGGGAAAAAAATGAATTCCCGTTAATTAATTCTGAAAGTTTTTCTAACCAGAAAAAAACGTTTGCTATGGTTACCAAGCGCCCAGATTTACTAAAGTATCATTTACAGGACGCAGGAACTTCTCCAGTAAAAAAAAAACAAAGACAATCCCAGAAAGATTACAGTTAAGGCTTGCTTCCATAATGTTCAGGCAAAGGAACATTTGGTACTTTCCACAATAGGACCAGACTGCCGGGTTGCATCATCCCCTCATCATTCTCTAGCCTCTAAGACGGCTCCTCACCTGAAAAATTTAGTTATTACTAGCCACTTCCCAGACTCACCTTGGAGGACAAGTTCAGTCCGTCCCTGGCATGGGTAATGGTTAAAATAGTCCGTGACATAAGTACGAGCTTAAACAGAAGCTTGTGACAACGACTCACAACGTACGTGGTGTGTGTGTGTGTGTGTGTGTGTGTGTGTGTGTGTGTGTGTGTGTACGCGCACTCTGGGACATTCCGTAAGGACTCCCTATTGCCTTTCCGAGTGCTCGCTCCATCCCATAAACCAAGCACTCAGTATCCATTTCTGGTCTTTGGATTTGGGAGGGTGGGGGTTAGATGGGTAGAGGGGCTCTCTTTTTTGTTGGAGGGGGGTAGAGTTGAGCCACAGCCCGCAGTGCCCGCGATTTACTCCCCATGTGTGCTCAGGGCGCCCCTGGCCTGGGACCCTGCGGTGCAGGGAGGAAGAGGAGCATCCTGCACGCACAGCATGAGCTCTGCTCAACGCTCTGAACTGGCTCTGCACAAGGGCTCGCACCCTGTCGCTACAGTGGGGCGCTGACCTGCGGGCCCGCCGGGGCGCGTCCCTCCGAGGTGGTGGCCGTTTCCGTTAGCCGCCGGCTGCGAGAGTGTCCACCCGAGCCCTTAGAGACGCGGGCCTCCAGGGTCCCGGCTCGGGCCGCGCCGAGTTAACCCTGCGGGGTTTAGGGCGCGGAGCCCCGAAGAGGACCGCCTTGGCCCTAATCAACAGGTAGCGCTGTCAGTCGGTCCGATTCTACCTCTGTTCTGTTCAGTGACTGCAGGGCTCAGTCAAGTCCTTGGGCACGGTGCAGAACTGAGAAGTAACCATGGAGACAGGACGCTCAGAACCTAGGGGCGGGGCGAGGCGAAGGCGAGGGGGCGGGGCAGGACGGGTGGTGGGCAGGGCGAGTTCTAGGGGCGGGGCCAGAGGTCCAGAGCCTAGGGGCGGGGCGGGGCAGGGCGAAAGCGAGGGGCGGCCGAAGACCAATTCTGAGCATTTTTAACCCATTTCACAAGCACTTTCACAAGCTACAAGCACATGGGCTTGCATCCCAAAGACCAGTCTGCTAGAGCTTGGAATCTACATCCCCAAGACAAGTATCTGAGCTTTGCATACCAAAGACTAGCCTGCCTAGAGCTGGGAATCTACAACCCAAAGATCAGGCCTGGCTAGCACCTGAGATCTGCATATCTAAGACCTGCTAGGTTCTGTGAGAAAAGGGAAACTGTCTCTTACAAATTTTTCATAAAAGTTAGCTGAGGCTTGTAAGATAAGTTCTTGCTTTCTCTAAACTCTTATTTCACTTTAGTTTTAGGCTCTAATTCCACAGCTCTTCCTGGACAATATAGATTCTTAAGTTCAAAAGAATTACAACTGTTCATAACCATTAATGTTCTTCCAATAAGAAATTTAGATTGAGAATTCTGCTTTCTCTGTAGGTAACTTTCTGATAAGAAATCTTCGTTTAAACCTTGTCTAGCAAGTTCCAGAAACAACTACACTTCTTAAATCCCTAGGTTGCATATCACTCACTGACTTCTCTAGAATTAGTACTTCTGAGTTCAGCCTGGTTCCAGCACTCGAGTGTTCCACACAGCCAGACAGACAATGAACTGACTAAAAACACGTACATGTGCACCACTCACTGACTTCTCTAGAATTCCTACTTCTGACTTCAACCTGGTTCCAGCACAACCTGTTCCACACAGACAGACAGATAGACAATGAACTGACTAAAAACCACATGTACATGTGCACACGTCTGCAGTTGATCGATAAGCTGGCAAAATAAACTATGACAAAGTTGTTGAAACCTAAGGTGGTCAGATGTTAGATGTTACCATATTTTGGTCAAGGCTAGTTCTGAGGCAGGGAGTTAGTATCATAATCTTGCATTATCCTGCCTCCTCTGCTTTGATAATCCTATTTCTTTTGTTACCTGCAAAGATCTGCAAAGATTACTGACCTGCAGATGTAAAGAAACAATGTACGTTTTGCTGCCTCAAGGTTCTTTCTGTAACTCCTTTTGATGGCATCACTATATTGCAGAGGTACTATGATCTATAGAAATAAAAGAGAAAGGGAAATGTTTAGCTTTGTGATTTTTCCCAAGAAATTTAAAACACGACTTTTCAGCTCTTAGAATATGTGATTATGTATCCTGCTTTTGAGAACCAGAAACAAGGTTAGGGAAAGCACCTGACCTCTTAAGGGAGGAAGTACTTGCATTTTTAGGTGTACTAACTGAAGAAGTGGGGTGCAAGAAAGATAAAGCCAGAAACATCAAATAAAAAAATCAAATAAAAATTATATTTGTACTTGTTCAACTTAAAACTATAAAACCTAGCTCCCAGAACCGCGCGGCCACATTTGCAGCCACGCAACATCTTATTATGACATCTTATTATCTCATTCCTACTTTGGACAAACTGGCAGGCTACCGAATGTAACCTGCCCACACGGCAGAGTCTGGCAAACTCCCCGTGGTGTACCCAATATGCCCAATACCAGTAACAATGATGGGTCTCATTCTCCTAAAGAGCCTTGAATATAGCACTTTTTAAAAAATCTCAGGGCTAGGATGAAGGAGACGTTACTGGGGCCTGCTTGAGGCCATCGATGAATAACAGGATGGTCGTGATTCGTGATTCGTGATTTAACCCATTGTTTCATTTTGTTTCGTTTATTTTTTGTTTTGGTTTGCGTTTTGGGCCACACCCGGCGATGCTCAGGTCTAACTCCCGGCTCTTCGCCCAGCAATAACTCCTGATGGGGCGCGGGGAACCATATGTGGTGCCAGGGATCTAACCTGGGTTCATAAGGCAAGCATCTTACCCGCTGCATTATCTCTCCGTCCCCGTTACCTTCTGTTTTTCAAAAACTTACTGAAATGACACTCGCTTACAAAGTTAAAAATATTTTTTACGTTGGGAGGTGGGGTAAAAATGTGCCGATATTCCTCCACCTCTCCTCTTAGACCAAGAACAACAACAACAACAACAAACCAAAAAAAAAAAAAAAGAAGAAGAAGAAGAAGAAGAAGAAGAAGAAGAAGAAGAAGAAGAAGAAGAAGAAGAAGAAGAAGAAGAAGAAGAAACAAAAACAAGGGACTCCGTGGCTAAAACGCCCGACTTGTAGGTGGGATCGAATACCAGTGCCCAGTTCGAACCCCAAGGCAGTGGGATCCTGGCAGCTTCGCTATCAGTGATCTGGATGCTGCAAGAGATCCTGGTGCAGCAAAAGCTGTGTTGCATCAGAATCAACTTCGGGGAGTGTGTCGCTTCCTGAAGGGTGCTTAAGGGTTCTGTAAGCACAGAAGCTGAGAGCAGAGATGATGCAGCCTGATGAAAGACCATAAGCGAGCAGCATGCTGTGAGACCCCTACTCCATACCATGCCCAAGCCTCTACACCAACAAAATGAAGGGAAGGGCCCAAAGCCAGGACGGAGAAATGGCAGGCTCCCAGTCTTCAGGGTAGCAGACACAAGAGAAGTGCTTGCTGGGATGAAAACTTATGTGGAGGCCTTGAATAGGGCCAGTCCCCAGCGCCACAAAATAAAGAGGATGTAGAAGGGGTGTTGGGAAAGGAGAAGCTAATTAGGAGAGGAGAGGAAAATGCAATTGCATATTTGAGAAATGGAGTTCTTATCAAAGTGCCTCTTTTTTAAAAAATTAAAAATAGAACTGATCAGTGTTTATGTCCTGTTGCTCAAAGGAAGTCTTTCACTGGTTGTTCCAAGAAGCCAGAAGAAAAAACTGAACATTCAAAAATCACCTGGTAAGAATCACATCCTGTGTGCAGTTGAGAAAATAAGCATTTAGTCACAATAATGCTCCTTACATGGGCAGATTTATATGAAGCATGAAACAGGATAAAACTGGTATTGGAAGCAAAACATTGAGCAACTAAGCTTTATCTTTAAGCTGTCTACTGCCAGTAATTTTTCAAATTGCCAATAAATACACAGAGCATACTTGGCTTATGGGCATTCTTAGGTTACTAGGAAATAAATCAACATAGCAATATAAACATATCAACACAGAAACTCAAGAATACACAAATCAAAGTATAAAAGAATTTTTCCCTTCTAGAAAATGTTTCTAATTGTTTAGAGTAGTAAGATATATAATAGCAAAACTATGGGAATCTAGATATCTGGTGTTTAAGGAATGTTGATAAATATGAGGTAGGCGTTAAAAATGTTAACAAGGACCTGGTACCATCACAAAGAAGTGATAGGATTCTCCTGGATCACTTACCTTCTGACTTCCCACAACATGTGAAAAAATAAACCATTATTTTTATTCAGTAATCGTTATTTAGTTTTCTGCTATATAAGACTAAATTCGACTCCTAACGTGTGACTTCAGAAATATTAGCTTATTTCACTACACTGAGTTATTTGACCTAGTTCGTCACTCCTACCTGCATGCACACTCTTGCCATAAACTTGTGTGCTGTTTTGTTTCTCTCCCTGTATGTTTCAGTTTGACTAATGTAACTTGCTTTGATCAATGAGTTGTGTGGGAAGGACGGTGCTACTTTTAATGCTAAAGTGTTAAAAGATCCCATGTTTCTGTTTCATCATTTAGCCTGTATCACGGCCATGAGATTTTTCCCTGGATAACTCTTTGGTCCCAGGGAAAGAAAGAAGTGCATGTGAAGCCAAATTGTCTGAACAAATGTTCCAGTGAGATGCACAACTGTCCCAGTGGTCTTGACCTAGTACAGCCTAACAGCAGCTATAGGCTTAGGATAATAAGTAACCGGTTTTTTTTCTTTTTCTTTTTCTTTTTGGGTCACATCAGGCGATACACAGGGGTTGCTCCTGGCTCTGCACTCAGGAATTACTCCTGGTAGTGTTCAGGGGACCGTATGGGATGCTGGGAATCGAACCTGGGTTGGCCATATGCAAGGCAAACGCCCTACCCACTGTGCTATTACTCCAGCTCCAGTAACCATTTTTTAAAATTGAAGTTTGGTTTAGTTTATTATACAGAATTGTCCGAATCAAACTTTCAGGACATGGAGAAGTGTGGGGGGAGGATTAGCTGTTAATTTCACTTAAAAAGAAACAATGCAAGGGAATCTACAGTGTCCACAAAAAACCCTAGGTCTTTAACTATAGTTACCAAGTGGTAGGGGGAAAGTACTGGGGTAGAGAGGAAGCAGAGAGAACTAAAAGTAACACCAGAACAGGGATAGAAGATCTCTGGCACTTTGCTGGTGGAGAAAGTGCTCTAAGTTTGTACACTGAAAATATAATTATTGATACTGTTATAACTATGCTACCCCAACTATAACTTAAAAAAAGGAAGAATTTTTTTTAAAAAAGGAAAAAGAACTATTCATAGAGCAGGTTTATGATTAAGATATGATTGTATCTTAATTTGAAATCGTGCAAGTCAAATTCCTGGAATTAGCTGACAATTTTTTTTTAGCTTAACTTTTCTTCTCCATCACTTGTATCATTTGTCATCCCTTTGATCTTTCATTTGCTTGAATGGCCACCAGTAACATCTCTATTCGCTCTGTCGCGTGCTGGAGTAACCCAATGGCATCTGCTTGCTCCTGGAACAGGAAGAACCTCAAATCATTTGTTCGGGGTTTTGAAGAAGTCTGACCATCTCGTAGGTGGACAGCCACGCGATCT